CGCTCGTATTGCCGTTTCGTCGTAGATATTCAGCTTTTTTTCTGTTGGCTAGACGTATCCTAACGTAGAAAATCATAAAACTATTAACCAGTTTTTATATTTTGATAAACCGTGACCGGCTGCCGGTCATATAGTCACTTCGTATTAAAAATGTGTGCTAAATGCTATAATGCATTTGTTACCTGCTTCGCCTTGCTCGTTCTGCTTCCTTCCCTGGCAATGGCAATCCATCAAACACAACTATTGCTTCAATATTTTTTCTTTTCAAAAGCTTTAAAAACAGCTCACATATTTGAAGAACCCTAGATAAAATGGTGTAATTTTTAATTATAAAGTATACCAAAAACTTGTGCAGTTTATTAAAATCGTTATAATATAATAAACACGCAACTTCGCAAAGGTTTATTTACCTTCGATCGTCACCAAACTGTTTATAGCTAATAGCTATTGCTTTATGTATCCAACAAGACGCATCGACAGCGCCAACAAGACCTTCGAATGAGCTCAGGCGTTCTTTCACGGTCACCGCTTTTAGGAAATGAAGCAAATTCTTTATACCCATATGGCATAAATAAATATTGATGAGATATTTACTCGACGGCAGCTAAATGCAAATGAGCATTAAAATAGCTTCCCAAACAAAAATCCCATGATGCATTGCGGGTCGTGTCACACACCGCCTGCTCTATATAATTACTTTGTTGATAATTTTGGAAATGTTGAGACAGCCCCCGACGAGAAACTCGTAGCAAAGTATAAAGGTCATTCTATAAAGGATCTAAAGAAGGCTTTAAGCAATCTAAAGTCACAAATTCGGAGGTAGCCGAAATAAAATATGTGTCTCGTATTCTGCGCAATAAGCTTCGTAACCATGGTGACATTCAGACAGACTCCAACCGAGACAACTCGCTTAATCATGACAAATACATAGAAAGAAATTTTTGGGGTTATGTTAAAAACGTTTTAAATAAGGAAGACTGTTTCATATTCCTAGCTGGATTCCTAGGTTATCTGATCCACAAGTGCAATTTGACCTTGACCCGCCTTCATACCAACAAGTTACTGCTGTTATCCGTAAAATGAAAGCATCTGGTTCTCCTTGTCCTCTCGATCAAATATCAATTATATGCTTTAAGCGATGTCCTTACCTAAGAACTTATTTAACTGAACTAATACGCGCTGTCTGGCTTTCAGGATCTATCCCGAGTGAATGGAAAAAAGCTTGCACTATACTTATTCATAAGAAAGGCAACACGAGTATTCCCTCAAATTTCCGACCGATCACACTCGAATCTATACCGCTTAAAGTATTTACATCATGTCTGCGTAATGCAATGTACTCCTTTCTCACCGCCAATAACTTTATAGAACATAACATACAAAAAGGCTTCACCCCAAATCTGTCTGGTACTATGGAACATACTGCGCAAATGGCTAATATAATCAACAAAGCTCGGATAAAACAACGTTCACTTGTCATCACACTACTTGACCTCAAAAACGCTTTTGGAGAAGTTCATCATAACTTAATCCAATCTATCCTTGGCTATCATCACATCCCTAATCACATGAATAATTTAATAAAAAGCTTATACACTGATTTTAAAACTTCCGTAATTACTTCAGAGTTCCGTATCCATTTTATAGCTGTTGGCCGTGGTGTTTTGCAAGGTGACTGTCTTAGTCTTCTACTATTTCATATGTGTTTCAACACATATATTCAACATATCAAAGCTGAAAAGTACCGCCAGTTCGGTTTCTCCCTCCAACTCCTTAATCCAATCCACTGGTTTCAGTTTGCCGATGATGCTGCGGTTATTACTGGTCAAGAGTCGGAAAATCAACATCTCCTTAATCGATTCTCTATCTGGTGCCAATGGTCCAACATGGTTGTTAGAGTTGATAAATGTAGCACATTTGGCATCAAAAAAGTTTTATCAAAATCTGCCCAGTACCTGCCGAAGCTTTTGATCAATAAGGATCTCATACCAACGATTAAGACTGGAGAATCATTTGAGTATTTGGGACGACACTTCGACTTTAACATGACTAATGAAAAACATAAATCTAAACTGATCTCCCTCATTGATGAACTAATGTCCGAAATAGATCTTAAACCTCTTCACCCAAAAAACAAAATTTTACTTTACAGTCGTTATGTTTTGTCGAAACTATCCTGGCATTTTACTGTTGCTACGATATCTAAAACTTGGGTAGTCGAAAATATCGATTCTCCGGTGAACAAGTACGTCCGAAAATGGCTGGAAGTACCTATATCTGGAACATTAAGTAACATCTTTCTAACCCGTAATAAGTTTGGTCTAAATATCCTCCCTGCATCCGTCAAGTTCATTCAGTGTCAAACAGTTCTACGCAATGCCCTAAAAACATCTCCAAACGATTCAATTAACGAACTGTGGAAGTCAACTAATAATCATACTAACATTCAATACGATAGCTACAATTCAACTAAAGAAGTTTTAAAAACTTTCCATTCTCAACAAGAAAATAAACTTAGGGACCATTTGAAATGTCAAGGTTCCTTTTTCGAAAATGTTTCTAAATTCTCCCTATCACAACTTAACGCAATCTGGTCGGTATCGCAATCAAAGCTACCAAAAAACATTTTCAACTTTACAATTCGCTATATAAATAATACCCTTCCTACCCGAAAGAACCTCAGTAGATGGGGAATTTCATCAAGTTCTGACTGCTCGTTCTGCTTACACCCTGAATCACTTCTGCACGTTGTTGCCGGTTGTCAACATTACTTGGAACGATTTACTTGGAGACACGATTGCATACTAAAGTTTCTTGCAAAAACCTTTCAAAGTTTAAACGAATGCAAATTACTTGTTGATCTTCCTGGATTTGAAAGCCCCTCGATTATTACGGGTGACGAATATCGTCCTGATTTACTTGTCTCCACTTCAGACAAACACCTCTACGTTGTTGAACTTACCGTAGGCTTTGAATCAAACCTCACGTACAAACAATGTTAACCGCAAGAAAGCTAAATATAAGAACCTAATTATTGAACTAGATCAAAACTTTAAATCTGTTAAATTTATAAATCTTTCAGTCAGTTCGCTCGGGGTGTTTGACAAAGAATGCCATACATTCGTAAAAATGCTAAATGAGTTAGGACTGGATAATCAACACCAACAATATTGTATCAGAAAAATGATATCTATTGCCATCCGATCAACGTACTACATATTTTGCTGTAGAAATAAAGAATGGACAAATCCCGAACTAATGAACATTTAAAGTAACTATTTCTATAAATAATTAACAAATTTTGTATATAAAACTATAATCATGTATAAATGATTCAAGTAGTCAATTATTGGAAGTATTCCCCGCAGGGCTTTTCAATACATATTTACAAGTGATACTTTCGACAGATTAATTAATTTTTATAAAAATAATTACAAAAGGAATTTGTAAAAAGTTTAAATGTAGCGCAATAATATAAATTTCAATAAGAATAAGATTCTTGCATGCATGTTAAAATAGTGTTTATATATACTATAAATATTCAAGTTTCAAAATATCGACTTAGTAAGAACTCTTTTAATTTGATTTTAAATGTTGCTAATGGGAGTTTTTTCAACTCATTGTCTAAACTATTCCATAACCCAACAGCTCTATATCGAAAACTTCTTTGTCCTGTGGTGGTTGAAAATAGGGGAATATGTAGTGCTTCATTGTTTCTTGTGGCGCGATTGTTTAGTTCCTTACGTTTCAGAAATAGGTCGCACAGATATGTTGGAGTGAGACTATTTATACATTTGTAGATCATGACCAAATCTTTGAACAACAGGTGCTCTTTAACAGGGAGCCAACCAATATCTTTAAGGATAGGTGTAATATGATCAATTTTTTTCCCATTACCTAGGATTCTGCACGCAAAATTTTGGACGGCTTGTAGTTTCTTAATATTTAAAGAACTCGTGTTTGACCAAACTGTTGAACAGTAATATAATTTACCCATAACTACCGCGCAGATGATGTAAATCAGCGTCTTTTGATCAAAACAATGTTTGACACGATTAATTTGACACAGTTTAGCCATGCACTCTGATGAAAGCTGGGTTATATGTTCGTTATATGTCAAGTTGCGGTCCAGGATTATTCCAAGGTCGCTTATGGAAGTGACAGGAACGATTGTCTTATTTAAAAAATTCAAAGACATATCATCTGATAGTGAATTTAGTAACTGTCGCGTTCCAACTAACAGAAACTTGGTTTTCTCGGGATTAATCAATAATGAATTTTTACAACACCATTCGGCTACAAGGCGAAGGTCAGTCTCAAGTTTATGTTTGGCGTCTGACACTTCTTTGACAGAGAATGACAGAGATATCTTGGAGTCGTCAACAAACGAATTCAGATCACATGATTGCGTCACTGTTAGAAGGTCGTTTGTATATATGCAAAAGAGCAATGGTGACAAAATAGCCCCCTGCGGTACGCCGTGGGTAATAGGGAGAGCTGAAGACAAAGATGAACCAATGCGGACTTTAATTTTTGGAAACGTCTGGTTAGATAGCTTTCAAACCATTTAACTGTTTCTTGGGATACTCCAATAGCACTTAGTTTTTTAATAAGATTGAATGATTGATACTATCAAAGGCTTTTGAGAGGTCAATTAAAATAACCGCAGATAGTTTCTTGTTGTCCATTGCATCCAATAGATGATCGGTAATTAATAAGTTTAAAGTTTCAGTAGAGTGCTGTTTTTTGTTGCCGCTTTGCTGTACACTAAGTCGTTTGTTGCGTGTTAAATAGGAATTTAATTGGTTGAGAACAGCTCTCTCACAAATTTTTGAAACAGTATTTAGGAGGGACAGAGGGCGATTATTTGAAGCAATTTCGTGATCACCGTCTTTTAAAAAGGGAATAACTTCGGCTAGTTTCATATCATCTGGGAACGTTGATGTGGCGAAGGAGCAATTGACAATGTTGGTAATTGGATCAAGAACAACAGGAAGGCAATCTTTTAAAACACTCATACTAACTTTGTCCGGTCATGGTGTTTTGTTTGAAGGCATAGACATGATGATTCGTTTGATATCAGTACACGAAACGGGCGATAAGTGAAACATTTCATGCGTGGTGTGTGTAGGTGATATTGCAGGAAAGGAGGTTGAAGTTGGTCCGTTAAGATTATTGTCCAGGGCTACTTGAGCTGCAGCGTTTGCAGTTTTTTCTCCAACAGCGATAAAAAATTGGTTGAATTCGTTTGCAATCTGTTCCGAATCTTTACTTTTTCCATAAAGATGTTGTATTGTTTTTATGGGTTAATACTTCGCCGCCAACATATTCTTTCTCTGCGTTCTTTAGGGAAATTTTGACTGATTGTCTCGCGTTTTTATACATTGTCCAATCTCCGACATCACGTGAATTTGAGTTGCCTGTGAAGTTGATCTCTGTGTGCCATGAAATCCTTTATATTTTGAGTGATATAGGGGCATGGGCGATTACGAACTCTGATCGTCTTAACTGGTGCATGAGTTTGTAAGGATAATAGAGCGTCGTTTAATATTGATAATTTTGAGTTCACATCGCTTTCCGTAAAAATTGATTGTAAAAGTGTCACGTGTTTAGAAACGAGGTCTGCTGTAAATAACATAGGGTTATACTTTTTAAAACTACGCACAGTGATGTAACTTCGTGGTTGTTTATGAAGTTTTAAGTTCAGTACCATGTAAACCAAAAAATGGTCACTTATGGAGATTTCAATAATTCCACTTTCCTGCACAAGATCCGGAGTCGAGGACATTACAACGTCTATTAATGATTCGCTAGATTCAGTGATCCTAGTGGGTGAAGTAATCAGTTGTTTGAGGTTCAATTCAGAAACAAAATTCAGCAATGACAAATCGTCAGGATTTTGTTGTAAAAGATTGCAATTTAAATCACCTAGAATTATAACAGGCTTGTTGACCGATAAGGCGTGGGTCGAAGAAGGCTTTAAAAAATCCTCAAAACAGGAAACATGACAGTCAGGAGGTCTATAAACAGCACAGATTACGAATAATCTAATCTTTTTATATTGAACTTGTAACCAAAGTTGTTGAAACCAGCTGGTTGTTGATGTACCGGACAAGTCTTTCAATATTTGTGCCTTTAACGGGCTACGAATGTACGCGCACACTCCCCCGCCACGTTTGTCCTTTCGGTCCAGTCTAAATATTTTATAACTCCTTCAATTTCGACTTCGGCGTTTTTGACTAATTTGTTCAGCCAAGTTTCTGATAATATAATTATGTGATAATTTGTAACTCGGACAAATTCGCGAAGTTGAAGGATGTGGTTTCTGTTTCTTAAAGATCGAATGTTTAAATGAATGAATGACAATTTGTGTGGAACCCTTTTCGATTTATTCGACGAGAAAGTTGTTAGGTTTTTCTTTGATTGATTAAATATTATATGGGTGGTTTGTGATAGAGAGGTCTCGCGATTTACTGAAAGGGTGCTCTTGTTGGTATAGTCATCAGTGGTGGTGGGTACAAGCGCTGGTATTGGTACGGCTTTAATAAGGGGCCGAATGTTGGATACCGAAAAGGGGGGAAGTAATTTGGATTGGAAGGAAAAGGAGGTAGGTAACCATTAGGGTATTGTAAATTAGAAGAGGGGAACGGTTCAAAGGAATTGAAGGGAAAAGGAAGTACAGGTGGATTATTGTTCGGGTATGGTATGCGGGGGGAATAAACTTTCCAGAGGGATTTTGTTTTGGCTTCGACCTGCATTCGTATAGCGGGGTAAAACTTGTGCGAAAAATCGCATCTATCCCCCTTAAGGCAGTGGCCTCTCTTTTTCAGGAAGGGACATGGTACTCGTGCTTTTTCCTTTAAATTTGTGCTACTAGATGTTGTTTTTTCTACACGTTTCTCCGAGGGATAAGGAGGGAAACTACGCAGTGTAACATCAGGTTGAGTGACTATGGATTTAGTAACTTCAGGTTCAGTAAATTGGCGATTGGTTTGCGGAGTAATGTAGGTAACATCGTTGTCAGGATTAATTGGAAAGTTAGCGTTACCTTTGGGGGACAATTTCTCCTCTAATTTGGTTAGTCGTGATTTTAAATGCAAATTATCCTTAGTTAATTTACATAACTCTTGGTTGTTTTTATTGATGATTTGAGTTTGTTCAGATATTTTAGTAAGCAAAATTAACACTTTAGACTCCATATCTTGTCTAAAAACGCTAAACTGGTCTTGTAAGGTGTCTAGGCTACAGTCAGGTTGCGACTTCAAAGGCGTTGAGTTATCAATAGCTTGAGCAAAAGATATTTCATGCACCAAAGACTTTTGATATGAGTAGTAATATACAGGCCGATCGGGCCTTATTTTCAGGGCAGCGCAGGGGCGGCGCATCATTAAAAATTCAGGGCGGCGCATCACTATATATGCAGGTAATTAAGGGGGCCGCACAAATGAGGGTGACGTCACTCATCATTAACATACGTCATAATTATATGCATTGATGTCACACGGGCAGGTTTGGACGAGGACGTGTGAAACTTGCTGACTACGCATTTTTCAGCGTCCCTCCACGTGTGTGATACAATAGAGGGATTAAGATTGGTTTACTATGAACTTTTATACAAGTGTCTGTCTAAAATCGACAAGCGTCTTGTAATAAGCATAGTTCTGCATTTGACAACGCTTAGTTCTACATCAGTCATGACGTGTCTACACGGTAAAACCACATCTTACAATTTATTGGAAGGAATTTTTGCGAATGCAGTCGCACAAGAAGTTGAAAGATTTTGTGTGGAATCCTGTAATGGTTGTCAAGTCGGTCATCCTAGTCAAAGATGCCTCATGATGAACGAAAACGAACGATGGCAAATGTATGGTTTACAAGCAATTGAACGAGTGAATGGTAAGCGTATGGTTTGGAATGAATTCGTTGAGGCAATGAGGGTACTAAAACTGGCGGTTGACAGAGATCTACTCGAACATTTATAGCAACTGGAAAAAGATCCAGATTCTACGTTTGTCGATTCATTGATGGAACTACATCAGAACACTGAGAACCACGAACTACAATGTATACTGAACTATTTGTTTCATTGGAGATTAGAAGACCCACTCGAGTCAACAGCTGAAGCGTTTTTCTCTTGCCCACCGAGTTACATGTATTATATAAAGGCGACGGGTGAACTATTTAGAAGTTTTGAGGCCGATCATAAAATTGCTTATCAAGGATTCTTGGAGAAAAAACTTGTAGAACAGTTTAACAAACAGTCTTAGTTGTAATTTTTTGACACTATCATCTGTTATTTGTATCAATAAACATGTTTTAGACTTTGCAAATTTGCGTTGTTATGCGTTGCGAAGTCATTAGGAGGCGTGTAGGTAATTAAGGGGATTAAGGTAATACGAATTTGCATAACTAAGTGTATCCCGATGGATAGATAGCGATTATTTTTAACGCAGGTGCATACCTTAAAATCAGGCGCGTTGCTTTGCGGGTGCATGCATATATTAAAGTACAACATATTTGTACACTAATCAGGCGGGCGGGTTAGACAAATCGCGCGGGCGTGAAGAGCGGGCTTTGCAGGTAAATGTTTACACAATATTTCAGTTTTAAAAAACATTTATTTCTTCAATCAAAACGTTTTACAAAATTTAGTACGGTCTACTTCTAAGAGCGTAACGTCTAGGTGTTTTTGTTATTTTTAAAGAGTTCTCATATTCTTGTCTATCTTCTGGAGATAACTTTTCAAGTTTCTCCGGCTTCATTGGAATATATTTCGGTCTGTCGCTCAATATAAAACGTTCATAATCCTCTCTTGCTTCCGGAGTCATTCGTGCTAGGTCACGTTCTGTCCAATCTGCTGGGTCGACCCAATTCTGGAAAAAGTTGCGCTTGAGTTTTGGCCGTTCCTCTTCTGTTGGTGGCGGTGTAAGGAAATTAGGTTTAGGAGTAGCAGGAACTGGTGGTGCTATATCAACAGATTCATTGGGTTGTGGCATCTCTGCAGGCGTTTGTGGGATATTTTGAGTAGAGGTTTCAGGAATTCCAGGAGAAGAATGAGCCATCTTATTTTTGAAGGTCAAAAACCGGTTTAGCTGGTCAGAATATAATTTGCTTTTTTCCACGGCGCTAAGCTGTGGCTCTTCCATGATTTCTTTCATTCGCTGCTCGGCATCATACATGGCATTTACAAGCGGTGGTTGTCGATAAGACTGTTTTTGTATAAAATTTGCAATCTCGCCGGGAAGTATGTTGGTCTTAAGTCGATCTTGGTCACTCGTTGTTGGCTTTAAATCCAACATCAAATACCCGTGAGGTCGGCTCGTAGCATCTTTATAACTCCTCATAAATTCTCGTACTTTCCCGGGATTTATTTGCCTTGCAAGCATAGAAATTTGTTGTTTATCTCTTGGTGACTTGAACAACACAATATAATGGGCGTTTAGACTGATATTTCTCATTTCTTTTGCCTTGATGAAATATATTTTGAACAATATAGGTGATAGATAAATTCCGATGATGGCTCCCTTTCGTAAAAAGATCAGAAATACGTTTATCTTTGCCGGATTGTGCCATAAGATCATCCAATACGATCAAATTCCGTTGCGATTCGGGGATGCCTTGATTGAATTCGTCTTCATCATATCAGAATAGGAGGGTTGCCATTGGCCATAACGCCAAATGATACGTTGAGGAGGTGGACTTATAGTTTTCTGTGCTTTCTCCAAGAGAGATTTCACCCACACAGTCTTGCCGCTTTGTGTACACCCGGCTACGATACACGTAAAAGGATGCTGCAAAACTTCAGATCCTGCTGAGATTTCGACTGGTTTCCTTTGAACATCTCCATGGGTATTCAAAGTATGACGCTTGAGGTTGCCGCGTGTTGAAAATACTTTGGCACATATATTGCACGAAAAGGACATGTTCACACCACGAACGTCTAGCTGCAAGTGATAATAAGTTGGCGTATTCGTTCTATATATTCATTTATGCATCTATCCAGTATTATTCCATATCTTTATCTTCTTATCTTTATCCCTATCTTTATCTTCCTTGTCCCTATCTTTATCTTCTTATCTTTATCCTTATCCTTATCTTCTTATCTTTATCGTTATCTTCTTCATCTTCCTATATTTATCTTCCTTATCCTTATCCTTATGTTCCTTATCTTTATCTTCTTATCTTTATCCTCATCCTTATCTTTATCTTCTTATCTTTATCCTTATCTTTATCCTTATCTTTATCCTTATCTTTATCTTCTTATCTTTATCCTTATCTTTGTCTTTATCTTCTTTATCTTCTTATATTTATCTTCCTTATCTTTATCTTCCTTATCTTTATCTTCCTTATCTTTATCTTCCTTATCTTTATCCTTATCTTTATATTTATCTTTTTATCTTTATCCTTATCTTCTTCATCTTCTTATATTTATCTTCCTTATCCTTATCTTCCTTATCTTCTTATCTTTATCCTCTTATCTTATTATCTTTATCTTCCTTATCTTTATCCTTATCTTTATATCTATCTTCTTATCTTTATCCTTATCTTCTTCATCTTCTTATATTTATCTTCCTTATCCTTTTCTTCCTTATCTTCTTATCTTTATCCTCTTATCTTATTATCTTTATCTTTGTCTTCCTTATCCTTATCTTCTTTATCATCTTATATTTATCTTCCTTATCCTTATCCTTATCTTTATGTTCCTTATCTTTATCTTTATCTTCCTTATCTTTATCTTCTTATCTTTATCCTTATCTTTATCTTCTTATCTTTATCCTTATCCTTAGCTTCATCCTTATCTTTATCTTCTTATCTTTATCTTCTTATCTTTATCTTCTTATCTTCCTTATCCTTATCTTGCTTGTCTTTATCTTCCTTATCCTTATCTTTATCTTCCTTATCTTTCTTATAAGCTCACAGCCGAGCTCCCAATAGCTCGGAGCCTTGTCTAAATTGCTTTCTCTCTTCCAATCTAAGTCTCCTTACTGTTGTGTTTTACTCATTTGCTTCCAAACCGTCGAACAGAAATGATCAATCTTCTAAGGCACAAGCCATTTCTTGAACTGCTGGGCACGTCTGAGCCTTATCATCAACAAGCACTATTGGAAACAGCAACCGCCGAGCAAGTGCACTGCCTGTGTCCATGTGTAGAAAACGTTATGAAAAGAAAATATTTAATGCCGAAGCATGTAATGAAAAAACTCCGACCTTACAAACATGAAATGCTTAGGTTGGTAGATAGAGGAAAATCTGGAAGAAGAAAAAAACGGATACTCATTCAACATGGTGAAGGTTTCCTTGGACTATTACTAAGTCCTATTTTAGAAAGCCTGGCTGAACTTGTATAAAAGCCCTGTGACTACAATTTATACATCATTTCAACAATGAACATCGACAGTAAAACATCTCTGCGACATTGGCGCATTGAAGATATACTTGTGTATCTGAACAATAATGTCAAAAAAACTACAGAAAAAAATTCTACGTTCTATTCTTATATCAAGCGATATTTTAAACTTGGAATCCTCAGGGGGAGATTGTTTATCATGGAAGAGACATTCCTGGCACTAACATCGAGAACCTTTACAATACGCACTTTTACCATACAACTCTCACATTCCTGAACCACGAGGGCTTGACCTGTTTACAAAAGGTCTAGTAGAAGCAGGGGTTAATAAAGATTTAATTAAAAATGAGTATTTATTGTCAAAAATGGCAAAGGAGGAATGTGAAATGCCGCAATCTGATAGTGATGTTGAAAGCGAATCTGGTGAAGAGGACAGGAAATCTGATAAGAGTGTTAATGAAAGGGAATATGATGATGATGATGATGACGATAATGAGGAGGATGGTAATGATGATGATAATGAGACACTAGCTTGTAACCATTGTGGAAAAGAGACTGGTCACATTGTATACTTAATGAAGTGTCCAAGATGTTCTTGGAAAGATTTCTACTGCGGCAAAAATGCTCAATGTATGATATGTGATGAACTGTCACCTCTACTGTTTTCGCATGTCATTGGTTTCTGCGAGTTATGTTCGTATGGTACGTCTAATAGCAAGGCGGGTGGAGTGGAGTTCACACCAAAAAATGGACAAATAAAAGACTCAGTAGATTGGACCGAACGTGACCTAGCACGAATGACTCCGGAAGCAAGAGAGGATTATGAATGTTTTATATTGAGCGACAGACCGAAATATATTCCAATGAAGCCGGAGAAACTTGAAAAGTTATCTCCAGAAGATAGACAAGAATATGAGAACTCTTTAAAAATAACAAAAACACCTAGACGTTACGCTCTTAGAAGTAGATCGTACTAAATTTTGTAAAACGTTTTGATTGAAGAAATAAATGTTTTTTAAAACTGAAATATTGTGCAAACATTTACCTGCAAAGCCCGCTCTTCACGCCCGCGCGATTTGTCTAACCCGCCCGCCTGATTAGTGTACAAATATGTTGTACTTTAATATATGCATGCACCCGCAAAACCACGCGCCTGATTTTAAGGTATACACCAGCGTTAAAAATAATCCCTATCTATCCATCGGGATACACTTAGTTATGCAAATTCGTATTACCTTAATCCCCTTAATTACCTACACGCCTCCTAATGACTTCGCAACGCATAACAACGCAAATTTGCAAAGTCTAAAACATGTTTATTGATACAAATAACAGATGATAGTGTCAAAAAAATTACAACTAAGACTGTTTGTTAAACTGTTCTACAAGTTTTTTCTCCAAGAATCCTTGATAAGCAATTTTATGATCGGCCTCAAAACTTCTAAATCGTTCACCCGTCGCCTTTACATAATACATGTAACTCGGTGGGCAAGAGAAAAACGCTTCAGCTGTTGACTCGAGCGGGTCTTCTAATCTCCAATGAAACAAATAGTTCAGTATACATTGTAGTTCGTGGTTCTCAGTGTTCTGATGTAGTTCCATCAATGAATCGACAAACGTAGAATCTGGATCTTTTTCCAGTTGCTATAAATGTTCAAGTAGATCTCTGTCAACCGCCAGTTTTAGTACCCTCATTGCCTCGACGAATTCATTCCAAACCATACGCTTACCATTCACTCGTTCAATTGCTTGTAAACCATACATTTGCCATCGTTCGTTTTCGTTCATCATGAGGCAGTCATGTTGTCTTTGACTAGGATGACCGACTTGACAACCATTACAGGATTCCACACAAAGTCTTTCAACTTCTTGTGCGACTGCATTCGCAAAAATTCCTTCCAATAAATTGTAAGATGTGGTTTTACCGTGTAGACACGTCATGACTGATGTAGAACTAAGCGTTGTCAAATGCAGAACTATGCTTATTACAAGACGCTTGTCGATTTTATACAGACACTTGTATAAAAGTTCATAGTAAGCCAATCTTAATCCCTCTATTGTATCACACACGTGGAGGGACGCTGAAAAATGCGTAGTCAGCAAGTTTCACACGTCCTCGTCCAAACCTGCCCACGTGACATCAATGCATATAATTATGACGTATGTTAATGATGAGTGACGTCACTACGCACCCTCATTTGTGCGGCCCCCTTAATTACCTGCATATATAATGATGCGCCGCCCTGAATTTTTAATGATGCGCTGCCCTGAATTTTTAATGATGCGCCGCCCCTGCGCTGCCCTGCGCCGCCCTGAAAATAAGGCCCGATCGGCCTGTATATTACTACTGATATGATATATCAATAAATTCTTGTAGTTGTTCAATGATTGAGGAATCGGTAACTGGTGATAGCGTCTCACAACAATGTGAGTCTCGCATTGTCAACATCCGTTCTACTCGTTGCTGGCGTAATTTGACTATCATGCAATGATTTGTCTTTAGTAGGAATGCCACAATCGGTTAATGTACGATCTTTAGTTGATGAAATTTCGCCATCTGTACATATATTAGTAAGAAGGGTTTTTAAAATATCTCCGACTTTACCTTTAAAGGACAGAGTGCCAAGTTCATAATTCCACGAGAGTGCTAGATCCGTACTAGTACTACAAAAAGTTTACAAAACTTCTTATACTTGCCACCCGGCGCCGACCAAACGCCAGTCTCATTTACACAACATTTTATAAATAACTTTAACATTTCAAATGTATCTGACCATTTAATTCTTTTCCCATCATTGGTAAAGCATTTCCTATCTTTATACTGAATTATTTCGTGTAAATCCCAATTGAAAGGGTTAATATAAGTGCAATTTTTTGAGGCAGATAAAACCGTCTTGTCCGCCATCTTGCATAGTGTTGCATAGCGAGTTAAGTAGCGACGACATTGAAATGCTAGTAAGCAGCAGAATGGAAATTATAGTGTTTGCAGATTTTTTTATACATCCTGTAGTTTTCGAAGTAACGTGGCTTTAATTTGATGTCCTTGGATGCAAGTTTTGCTCCATGACCATGTTGTTCGGTATTCAGTTCTTAATCGACTTCGCTTCAGTATAATCAAAACTACAAAAGAAAGGCGATTTGACGAAGAAGTATATTCAAGCGAAGCTGTTCTGAGCAGTTGTTGATGCACACATTCTTATGTGAATTAGTTGGTTGAACTGCTATAACGAAAATATAGCCCGCCTACATAACGCAGGTATAAGAAGGTATATGTGAACCAGCCTTTTATGTTTAAGCCATTTAAAAGTCTGTGCTTTATCAGATAATCATAAAACACTCGAGCTGCGCTGTCGTGTTTTATAGTCATACACGCAGTGTATCGTTGTTGTGTAATTAAAAGCATTAAAAACAATCTGTGTGGTCTTAAAATAATTATTGGCTGATATTGTGGTCTAGCGTAAAGGTTCCAAAAACCGGTACAAGTTTCCATAGGGGGTCAGCTGGCAGGGAATCTTTTTTCTAGGATCGTTATGTGCAAGATATTTTTTTCCTATCCCATCGCGGTGTACGATTTTTTTGCCACTCTCTTTCCCAACGTTTTTTTTTCAATAGCTTATACTATTTAGATTCTTTAATTATATTTAACGTTACGTTTTCTAGCTTCATGCATTGCTTTTAATAATACATATTGCTATGAGGTATAACATTTGGTTCAGAGCATCTTTTAAGGATGTGTAACTGGAGAGGACATATTTAGCCGGGGACCTGGAGAAGTTCCAATCGGCAAGCCTATATCGGCTTGTATCACTGCAGCTACCAGCATATATATGCATGGTTTAACTAATAAGTATACGTCATAGGGCAGCAAATCAGGCCATAACTAGGATTCTGAGACAATCGAGTCGACAACCGAAGGTACGAGCCTGTAGAAGAGTCTGGGCCCTGGGGGCATGCCCTCTTCCAGAAAATTTTGGATTTCTTGAAGCTCAGATGAGCTATTTCCAGCATTTCGAGGAGTTTTCCAACAAGAAATTAACCTAACCCTAACTCTAGCTTTATTATGCGCGAAACATGAGAATAATCTTTCTTTCCTGCCGTTACTCTAATATCTGTGACATCAGAACGACAATATTAGGGGCCGACCATTTAACTTTTGGGGGGGAGGTGATTTTGAAAAAAAAATCCTGCAAGGCTATTCTAAACAAAAAAAAATACCTACACTAACAAACTGGGGGGAAAATATTCTGCCCCAGTATTTGGTGGGAAGAAATGTTGCAAAACAGCATGGTTTGCAGGGATCGATTTGACCAGACCCAGAAGATTAGCTAGTTTGATTTTCAGGGACTAGTGTAAGGTTGTGATTACGGTCAAGTTCAAAGAAATATATTTGTGACCGAAACAAGGATTTATTCATAGTTACAATAATGACGTCACAACGATTAAGTTAGTGTTGAGCTTACAGTTACGACGGGTTAGGAGCTTACGAGATTGTATTTAAACTCCAGGGGTTGTTAATGTGGAAAGATGAGGCCGTTTTTGATAAATCGTCAAATTAAGGGGCAAGTCAACATTTACTACTAATAAGTATACTAGTAATACGATATATACGTATTTAAATGCCCATAAATGTCAACAGATCGAGTTTTCTGATCAATAGCAGTCGAAGTAGAAAATATTGAATATTTTTCCAACGAATGTACGCGATAGGTCGAAGGCTTAAATGTATATAAAACTATTCACTGGTAATACTTGTTTTGAACTTGACGCGACTGCGTGACGGCATGTATATTCAATATATACTATAAGTTTCCGAACGTTCAATATCAGAGCGACTTTTGTAATTACGATTTTATTAAACTTTATAAACTGGCTAGTCATATACAAACTTAGAAACCGAAATATGCAATGAATCAATTCAGTATTTTATATAGGCTGAATTCTGTAGTCTTCAATTAGTATTTATAAATCTATTATCTACACCCGCAGTAATGTACACTGTAACTTTATAACTTTGTCTTGACGTCTTTGTCCAGTATATTACCCGTGTTACAGTAACACCTGCAAACGCTTGTAAAGTAATCAAAACATCGCGAAATATTTTAGGTGATATTGTTCGATTTTTCTACACTGTCTGTTCAAAACAATAGCTCGACAAATTCTAACAGATTTTACAATTGTTCCATATTGTAAATTTGTAGACTGGTATATGTATAACAAATCTATCTCTCATCTCTCGCAGATAATCGGTTTAAGATATGAATACGTACAAATGAAGATATGAAATGTTCAAGATTAAATGTTTTGAAACTTTTGACGACCCAAGCCTCAAGGTCAAAGGTCAAGCCCCGCATTTTCGTGAGTAAAGCTGTGATTGGCTAATTTTGAGGAAAGGAATTCTTGGCCAAAGTAGGCATACCTTACGTGAGGGCTCAGCCCGCTAAGTAGGTATGCGTAGGAGACTATGTTAATGCTGGCACCCATATAGGAATATAATTTCAGCTAATCTTATATAACATGTTTAAATTTGTTGCCTTGATTTTTCATTTTCGCTTTTTCTGAAGCAAGTTTCTAGTCCGAGCCATTCTAAGGACTTAATGTATTTTTGGCGCGCGTGGGGGAGGGGGGGGGGTATGATCCGGTTTCAATCGGACAGGAATCTCCAAAAAAACGTTTCTCCAAAGTTGGCAACTATGCATTACATAGCTAGTCTCCCTCGCAGCTGCTCTTTGTGTTCAGTTTCATCCCATGAGCGACTGCTCACTCGAGTAAAACATTCCTTTCCTGAAAACAACCAATCACAGTAATCCTTCTAAATTTTGAAAACATGACTTTCGACTTGTTAGGATATTTATGTTGCTAAATTTATTTAGATATTTATGATTGGCTAAAGTAAAACGAAGGGAATTGAATGTTGTGCTCGAGTGAGCTGCCACTCGTTGGGAGAAACCTCGTCAAAAAGAGTGGCTGCGAAGGAGACTACTATATTGCCAGCAGTTTACTTAATAACCAGCTGCCGGCTATATGGTCACTTCGAAATATAAATGTTTACTCAATAATTGTGCATGAATTTTTTTTTATGGCACGATGCAATTCCTTTGCGCAGATACATGTACGCCTAGCGTACCTATTTTTTAAATTGGCACTTTGAAAATATACATCGTTATAAAACAAAATTGAATTTTTTATACATTTAAGATATTTTAGACAAGACAAGTGCTTGTTGAATTTTCTTCCATAAAGACTATGAAAGGTTTCTGCTTTTGAATTTTCCGATCTTTTTAAAGAACTCAGAGTTCGTCTTTAAAAACTTTTACTCGTTCAACCACCGAAACTAGTCTTATTCTCCCCTTACTGTATTAAAGAATATTGGAATATATCGATATAATGGGCATCTATAATTCTGTCGTTGTTGTTGTTGTTGTGTTGTTGTTGTTGTTGTTGTTGTTGTTGTTGTACCTGGGATAACTTGTCTCGCTTATAACAGTTCCATTTTTCATGTATTTCCCTTTGATGTCTGTGACTCGCACCACATCTCCCTTTTGCAAATTTGGAAGAAGTTTAGCTGTGCGGTCATAGTACTTTTTGCTTTGCTGTCGATAATGTGATAAGCGTTTCGTAACTTCACTGGGCTCGATGACAGATGGTTTTAGCAATGTATCACTTATTGGGAATAACGTTTTCGTTCGTCTGGCCATCAGTCGTTGGGCGGGACTGCCTAAAATGTTATCACGTGGTGTGATTACCAAGCAATGTAAGGTAAGAGGAAAGGATTTCATTGCTTTTCTTTGCTGTGCTGAGATTTTTCTTTGCTGTTTGAACCGCTCTTTCTGCATACCCGTTGCTTTGGGGATATCTTGGGGAACTCGTTTTATGCTCAATTCCATATTCAGCATGAATTTCTTGAAGGTCCATCGGCAGTTAGGGTATGGCCAATGTATTTAAGCTTTGGTACTTTGAACTTGCATTTCTCTTCTTTAAGGCGCAGACCTATATTTCTCGCTCTTTCTAATTTCGTGTCTTGTTTGGCGTGTCTAATTTCGTGTCTTGTTTGGCTCTAATTTCGTGTCAAATTCGTGTCTTGTTTGGCGTTGTGATCGTAACCATAGACGACACCCAATCTGTTGGCTCTTCGACAGGTTCAGTAACTCCTAGATGTTGCATGCGATCTAGTTCCTCTTTGACTTTACTGCGTATAGCGACAGGAATTTTCCTCGGTGCATGGATTACTGGTGGTTGTCGTTGTTGTTGTTGTTGTTGTTGTTGTTGTTGTTGTTGTTGTTGTTGTTGTCGTTGTTGTTGTTGTTGTTGTTGTTGTTGGCTGTTGTTGTTGTTGTTGTTGTT